TCCGATACAGAAACTTTGTTTCACACTTCACAGCTACAAGGTTGTTGCTGGGTGTATTTTCCAGAACCTATTACCTCACTGCTAAAGCACTTTCCATGATTTCATCGTTTTTAATAGTAAGGTACACTTCCTCAGTGACATGCACTCCTACACCAATACTGCTTTTGTCCATATTCAGACACAGCAATTATTCAAATGTAAAATTCATCTTTCATTTGACCCTTGAAATATATATGCTGGTTAAATTAGTTAGCATATAGCCGCTTTATCAGCCACTTCACACACACTATCTTGTTCCCCAATTAGAAAGGTTTACATACAGTGCGACATTCTCATAAACAGTGGTGTCATGTTAACAATGGTTTTCCAATACAATTATTTATGCAGAAAATTACACCTGTGTGACAAGTGTTATGATCTAACAGGACATGCAGAAGATTACACATCGGCCAGAGCTGAACAAAACAAAAAGTCATTCTTACCACCTATGTAATACATTAAGCACAAATGTTTTAGGTGAAGACAAGCCTGGTCGATATGAACTGAATGTAAAAAAAAAAAAAAAAAAAAAAAAATTAAAACAGCAGTTAAATTAACAGCTATAAATCAAATCAACTCAGCTTTTAAAAATATCTCTTGACTTCCAGCAAAAAGATACCCCTCAAAATTGATGTTAAAAAAAAAAAGAAAAAACACCGTATGAGAACAAATCGCACTGCATATTAAGATGGAGTGTCTGACCTCTAACACAGTTAATAAAAGCTGAAAGTTTCAGACAGACCATCACAACTGACAACCTCCTCCCAGCTTAACCTTCTTTTCCCTCTTGGAAAAGTCTCCTCCCCACTATGCTAGTTTCTCACACAGTAAATGAAAGGTGACCAGTCAACATCCCCACAGAGCAAAGGATGCCGTTTCAGCAGGTGCTGGCATATGCATAAAATAAACCAACTAAAAAAGGCTCCGCTCTTTCGGATTTTTACTGGCAAGTAATGACTACAATTAGCAAAATAACGCAATTTAGCAAAATAGTACAGTTAGCAAAATTGTTTTTCCAGCTACGTAGCCATGAGAGAAATTGGGCATGAAATGCTCTGTAACAAGTTACAAGGCTATATGTATTTTCTGTTCACATCACTTATCAGCCATAGGATCATCCACTCAGTAGAAGGAAGTAGTGGTAGTACTTCAATATCCCTAGGCAGAAAAGCCAGTTAAGCCAATCAAGTATTTTCGCCTGCATTTCTTTACATGATGTTTCAATTCAAAAAAAACATAATGAGTTATCTATGTAATATATACTGTAACCTGTAATTTATAGAGCAGGACCTTCTCTAATTGGAATTATTAGAAAAACTGTCATTTTGGAAATCTGACAGATGGGGAAGGATTGGCAACATAAAGAAAGCAAAGAAAACAAGTTTCTATGAGTCTAAGTTTTCAGTTTTAAAATCAGTAGAACATTTCTAAAATTCTTAACTGGGAAAAAAATTGATTTGTCCATATCATATCATCACTTTGAAAATATATATACACACACACATACATGTATTTCCTATAGAAGGCACATCACTTTTCTTTGTATACATACTGATCTATACCTAGATTAGATACTGGGAATGCTTACAGTCCATATATTTAACAACAGTACCACTTTTATTTTCCCAAACACTTATTGTGTTATATAATTGAACAGCAGACATTTAACCTGAATATCATTACAAATTTACATTAAATCTGTTAAACTGTGGGTTATCATCCTAAAATAAGTTGATGAAGACCCCTGTTCCAGCATATTTAGAAATTAACTCAATCACATGCATAAAGAGAGCAACATCGTAACAAACACAATCCACTGGCAGAAGGATATGCATGATTTAGTAGTCTTGCATGCAATTACTGAAATATACTTTATCAAAACATAAGCAAAATATTTACTGTGTATCAAATTCCAGATATTAAAAGCAAGTTTCAAAGTACTTTCAAGCATTACAGGTACTTATAGCCTATCAAATGTTTTAAAATGCAAACTTACTTGGGAAACCAATTTAATCCAAGATGTTCCGTCTTGGAGTATAATATCCTTTCCAACATTTCATAAAGCGGTCTCCATGGTAACTCTAAATCATCCCTGGAAAGCAGTTCTTTTTTCCTAATAGAAAAAAAAAAAAACAAACCACCACCAAAAAACAATGAGCACTTTAGGATTAAACATTTACATCAACACACTGCACATCAGAATACTCCCCATCACTGCTCTGAATTATGCTTCTCTTCAGCATTTGGCACAAATTGCAGGAAGGTCAGGCCAGAAAAAAAGCTAGCCACTTGCAGCATTTCTGCACACACAGAAGCTGTCAAGATCTTCAGAAAAAGTCTGACTAAGTGAAATAAACATTATCAAGTTGTGAGACAGTCTTCATCTTCTCCCTATTTGCGATTCAACCTTAACACTTGGCTCTCCAAGATGTTTTCTTTTCCCAATAGGGGGGAGAAAAAAACCCTGACATAATAATAACACTCGTAAAGCTTTGAAAGGGGCAAGGTGTTCGCTTAGTGGGAGCTCTTTTTAACCAACATCATCTGTACAGGGGAGATTAAGTGAAGTAACCTGTAATAGAACATCCTATTACATTAAAATATGTAACAACATTAAACAAGTGAAGTGATCAACTACTTAAGAGAAAAAAGTTTCAGTAGTCAGCAGAAATCTGTACTTACTTTAACAGGTTTATCAACAGGCGTGCAAATCCTTGCATCATGCTGATCTCCAGTTTTGGAATTGTTACCAACTCATACAACAACTTGATAAAAAGCACATGATCTTCTCTGCTAAATTTTCTCCCATATAATCGGATGTATCTACAAACAAACCACAAGATGAGTCAGCAATATTTTTAAACATTTCCATTTTATCCAAGACCTGAGCCAGACTCATCTGACTTGCTGTTTAATGAAACAAGATTAAAACCCCGTTCACAAGTCCAACAAATAAGAACCTGAAGATACATAGCAAAGGAAGATTGAAAACTGAAACTAACTACAGAAAGAAAAAGAATGACTGAATAAAGTTTACAGTCTAAGGTTCAAACACCATAACTTCATGCTCACACCAAATACCACAAAACCAAGGATCGTATTCTTTCACCTCAGCTCAAAACGTACTAGCCATTAAATTTAGTATTTCCATATCCCCATGTACTTATTTCTCTTAAAAAAAAAAAGGGCACAAAACCACAACAACTCTCACAAGCAGCCTTGTTATACTCTATCCTTTTCAGCTGGGGCACTTTAAGAAGGAGACAGGACACAATCCAGAAGCTAATAAAAAAAATAAGTATCAAGGAAAGTCCAAATCTGATAGCTTCCAGTAAGACTGAACAATTGATTTAGACACTGAGCTTTGCTGGTGGTGTGTCCCACTGCTATCCCTCTTATTTGCTATCTTAAGAAAGCATAGATCCATTAGGACTAACTCTGGAAGAAGTGCTTGCTGTTTTCAAAGAGAAATTGAAAAAGGAAATACGTTTAAAGTCTTAAAAGATATTCTGTACCACCAGAACCTATATAAGGTTCTAGTGCAGCATTTTACATGTCACACAACTATAAATTACTACTCACGTGGGAAGCACACTTTCCTTTTTATTACTGCTCCAACTATTCTTAAAGATTCATAAGAAACCTTACTAACACGCTGTCCTCCAAGCAGCAGTTAGACAAAGCATACGAGATATGAACCCCTACAAAACAATTTTTGGAGAAGCCTGTTCATTGCTTTTGTTTAAGATTTAGTAGAGGTTGGATTGGGTTTGTTGCTAAATATACACCAGCGGAGCATCAAGGCTTGTTCTGGTAACGTGAAGAATGCCAGATCTCACACTGCTTATTGGGTAGGCAGGGCAGCACACACTGCAGAGTCCTACACTGGGACCACCACGTGAAATGATTAGGAAGGAAACATCTCTGAAGGACTCCTACTTGAAAGTAAGAGAGGCTACGTACTTTTAAAGGGGCAAACATTAGCAGTTACTGATGTAACAAGGAAAACAGACAGTCTCCATTCCTGAATTTGGTTTCTGAAATTGACTCCCGCGACGTTGAGGTGTTTAGTTTAATATTCTATCTGGTTTAGTTTCAAATGCTTCATGCTCCTCTGCAAACTTTTCTTCTTCGCAGAACTACCAGTGGGAGAACTGACTCCTTCAGAACTAAAATTCAGATCCCTTAATAAAACACACTTAGATGAAGCACACTTCACACTGACACAAGAGCAGACGGGATTTGGACTCAACTGCTTGAGTGCTTTTTTCCTACTTCCCCACATCCCCATTCCTCAATTTAAACTAAAATTGTCTCTGAACTTTCAGGATCACCCACAGCTAGTAGTTTTACCAAAAGGAGTTAGTTTCCTTAAATCTACATATACCAAGGCCCCTTGCTCTTTCCTCGCAAGATTTTGTTTTCAACCTTCTTCCTCCAGTTTCCCTTGAAGACACAGCGGAACAGCTGCAGGGCTCTGACAAACCGATAATCACCAGTTTTCAGGGGGGAAAAAAAAAAAAAAAGAAAGAAAACCCCAACCAACTCTACAGCACTTCTTTCCACTTCCCTTTTCCTTTCCCATTGATTTCAAGGGGGAATTTTTACATTTGGTGGGCAGTATTTTCACTAATGCTCATTTCAATGTGTTTTACTTATTTCAGATACAGAAGGAAACAAACAAAACACAGGATAACCCGCTCTTCTACCACAGGAACCTAAATTATCTGGATTGACCAGAAACGCTATCTACCTGTAGAATTGCACCATCAACAGTTGAACGCCTACACTATTCACACGCATAAAATGGATGTGCAAAAAGAATCCTCAGAAAAAAAAAGTGGATGACACTTGATTTTGTGAGGACTAACAGAAGTATATAACTTAATCATACTTACTTTAATTGTAATATTTTACCTTCTAAAAGCATACATTGCTCACACACTGTATGGGAAGAACCCAATGTGAAAGTCTGGAAGCTTTTTCAAGATAAATGGGTAATAATCAGGACAACACAAAAATTTCATAAGCAGACATAAGAGCTATTCCCAGACTCTCAAAGGAAAAGCACCCGCCTTGAGAACAGTCTGCTAGACTTAACAGGCAAATCAGAAGCATGTTGGATGGGCATGAGAGAGATGAGCAGCCGCACAGTCCGTTCACTCCCACTTAGCCGTTGCCCTTAGTCTCCACTCGCTGTTTAATAAAAGGGTAAGACAGTGTTTGATGCAATGACCAAACTTTACAGGAGTTTGTCTGCAAGAGTGTTTGTACTTTTCATGACAGCGCACATCTGGGAAGGAAAACAGCAACACCAAAGGCTCATTTCACTGTGGAACAGAGGGTTCTGAAATAAAGTTTAACCTTTAATAACTTCCAATTCATTATCCTTCAATCATATGCACTTGGATGTACTTCTCCATTCTCATAAAGCTAGGCAAAAAGTAACGAAGAACACTGGTTTCGTTTCTTCATGTACAATTAAAAAAAAGAAACTGCAGAAGCCTGAAAAGTAAGCCTTAACTACAAAGAAACACTACATAAGAAATCCAATTAATCTGTCAGCATTGCTATACATATCCAAAAAATAAAATGTTTGGCTGGTTACCTTTCTTGACATTTGCTAACAGCAGTTCTATTATACAAAATGCTGTTTAATTAAGAAACAGAAGAAGGCGTAAAGTACACAGAAACGTACTGAACACAGAGATGTCACTATGCCCAAGAAGCAGAACTAGATGCCAAATTGCTCCCGTGTTTAAGGCTTCTTTATGTAGGGGCTGGGGGGAAGGCAGATTTTAAAATTGTCAGTTATTTGTCTTAATCTGGCCGTGCATTAAGACAATGACATAAAATAATTACTTCTAGAAAGGGACTAATCACCTTTTCCTCAAGCTTAAATGAGCAAAATGTAACAGAAAGGAACTGCAGCATCTCCAGAACACCCCCTCAGAGAAGGGGAAATATCACCATCACTAAATAAAAGAATACAGGCATGAATCCTGAAGGATGCCTAGGGGCTAATCACACAGACACATGTTCACTATATAAATAGTGGCTCTTCAGGATTAAAAAAAATTACAAATTGGGTTATTGGGGGAAAAAAAAAACCTCTAGAACTGAATCGCTGCAAAACAAAAGATAAGACTTCTTATATCAAGGCAGGTAATACTACACCGCGACGATTCTTGAAATCTTAATTCCACTTCCGATTCCTCCTTTAAGAAAACTATCAAAGGTTTTATGAGCTCTCAAACTCTACCTTTTGCAGTCAACTGCAAAAAGGAGAAATGAATTGGCCTTCGTTGTGCTGCTCCACTGGGTTCCGATTTGGAGTTTAGCTACATGGAGAGACAAAAAGAAAAACAAAACTACAACAAAATCCACCCACACAACCTGAAAAATGTGATTAGGAAGTGAAAATTCTGTTTGCAGCTCCATCATTTCAGAACAGAGTAGAGGAGATTTAATCTCCGGAGATTAAAAAAAAAAACAAAAAAAACCCAACAAAACCAACCCACCAAAAAGCCAATTCTCTACTCTGAAAGTATTAGGTATCCAATCTCTCACTCCACAATTACAATAGACCTATTTTTAGGAAATGTACTATCGTATCAAGTGGACATCCTAAATTGCCCTAGAAAGTTGGCTGCTCTGCTACAGTTAAAAATTGCCTTCACTTATGAAGCCGAATAAAGCACTCTCCTAAATTCCTAGCTATCTGTTTTAATTTTCTAACACACCGGAGAGGATTACGATTGGTCTAAAACTCAGTTTTTGATAAATTGTATGAAAAACAATGCATCATGCTCAAAAATACTATTTAAAATGCATGTATATGTATATAGTATACACACACATCCCTTATGCATCCAAAAGGAAAGCTTGTATTTTTCTGATAAACGTGAGCGGGAAATAGATGTAAAACAAGGTTTGATTAATTTGATTAATCACTATTTGATAACTCTCTTTAAAATACTTCAGCAAAGTCTCACTGCGATGTTTTCATCCTCACTGTAACTTCGTGTCCTGTCATTCAAATTCAAAACAGTTAAGCTGTGTTTTTTCCACACCTTACAGCAAGACAGTTAAATGCCATTTCGTAATGAGCTTATACCTGACAAGCACATCAAATAACATTGTCAGGAACAGAAATTGTGTCCCTCAGCTCCAAAAACTCTACCCTTGCTTACTGAAGTAGAAAACACAGACAGACATTTGTGCGTTTTCCAGGCTGCAGAGTCAATTACATGTAGAGTAACTATTAAATGTTCTTGTTATACTAATATGCTCATTTACAGGCTATGGTCTAAATAAATAATCTATACACAAAGTTTTATGTAAAACATGAAAGAGGGAAAAATTGAAACAGCAGCCTATTTTTGACCTAGAGGCCACGAAAGGGTATGACGCAAGTCCATTTAAGCAAATGATTTCGATGCAGCCCGCTTTTTCCATCCCCCCCACACGCTGTAGCAAGTTATACAACTGAGATTCAGTCTTCTGCTTTCACAACCAGATTAGCGTTTTATAAGATACAGATTTTACTAGCCAAAGTTGGAGGAATCTTGTGGTAATGATTACAGACTTAAATGCCAATCTTTGAGGCAAGCAGTTTTACTTGCGTAAGAAGTCCCACTAAGTCATAAGTTACTTAAGTAACTGCACTATTTCTGTCTTCACAGGAGAGAAAGTTCTCTTGCCACACTCCGCACATGCATCCCAACCGAAGAACCAGTTCGCATGGTGGAAGATTATGCATAAAAGAATTATGCAAGTCAGCTTACAGACATTGTATCTGATAAACTCCAATTTT